GGAGGGTGCTCGTGAGCCTGATGCGGAGGGCGCACTTCCAGTAGACGCCCGCACCGGGCCTCCACCTCCGTTCAGCTATGGAGGAGATAAAGGTGATTTGTTCGAGTATTATGATGCTTTTGGCGTGCATTCGCAAGCAATGCATGAGGCTGTCTGGAAGCTGGATCACCTTGACAAATACAACTTTCATGCTTTGGTCCAGGCGGGGAAACCGACGCCAAAACCTGCGAAATGGCATCCAGGTCCGGGTGGACACTTGCTTCGGGCTCAGATATTGGCACACCACTATCTGAGATTACTGGACGATGCTATTGTCGTGGTACAAGAGACATTTTCCGAGACTGGCCAAGATAATCCCACAATAGATATCATAGATGGTGCTGACAGTGCTGTCAGAAAAGACATGGGTACCTATTCCGCAGGAATAGAAAATGTGGAAGACGCTACGTTGGGCCTCCCTCCCCCTTTGTACTGTGACCACTTTTTCTGTGGCTCTCCGGCTTCATGCGCTATGACTTTCGAGCCCAAAGAACAAGGGTCACTGCTCGACCTCGTTCTCTCACCTGCGAACTTAAGATCGACCAAGCCTACCGTTGAGCCTCAAAAGCCCAAATTGTGGCACGTGCAGCTGTATGCCGCCGACTTTGATGCTGTGGTCTTCTCGAAAAAACAAGGTTTTCAATACTTGGATATGAAGTACGTGCTTCAAGGTAATCACAAAGCTGGGCCTTTAAAGTTGGCTGTCAAATCACGAAGCGAAAATCATATCTTCTTTTGTCAACCGCCAAAGGTATGGGGACACATGCCAGCGCATTGTGGAGATCTGAAAGATGATGCGGTAGTAAAAATAGATGAAAAGCGCGTCTCAATGGTCAAGTCGTCAAGTCTTTACGACAAGGAATCCTCGCAGCCACCCAATTGCTGGATTTCGGAGTGGAAAGTCAAACCGGGGTCACACGTTATTACCATCACTCCCACAAATAGTGATGGAAGCTATGTTGCCTTGTCGGCCTTGATCTGGTTTTGAAATCTGTAGGAAATTTCAAGCCTTTCGACGGACATATCTCTATTTTTTGCGAGCATACTACATGTGTATAAATAACCACGCTCGGATGGAAAGAAGTGCGGTCTGTATGGGGAAAAAAAGAATACATACAAAACGTGTCATGCTTTGTGAAGATGTGACCATGCCTCCACGTCCGAATATGTTACTGCTCCCTTTTTTTATTAAAGGAAAAGGTGCGAAATTTAGAAAGCTCCATCAATCCCAGATGCATAAAGGCGTGTCAATCTTTGACGCGAAAATTAAATATTATACGAATTCAGTGCAGGTGTCGGTAATCCCGGGGCCGCTGTCAGTGGCCTCTACATACTCGTCGGACCGTTA